TTCAAATTGTCCTTTTATTACCTCCAAAATCGTGAGTGTTTCTTTTCAAATCTTCTTTTTGAATATCTTTCCTCCGTATTTTTTAAAATAGTATTATAGATATTTTTAAATATCTCCCTTTAAATATCTTATCCCCAAAATTGAGTGTTTCTTTTCAAATCTTCTTTTTAAATATCTCTCCTCCGTTATTGCTATCATAGTTTGGGTTTTATATCCATCGTTTGAATGGGCTTTGTTTTAAGTTCTCTCTTTTTTGATTTTTCTCGATATAATTTGTTCCCGCTGTTTTATTATTGTTTATTATTCTTGAATGAATACAGGGGTAGTACTATGATGGTTTTAAAAGAAATGCGAATTAAAGGCTTTGATATCGTAATCCCTTTCCGGTATACTGGTTTACTCAAACACGCAAGAAAGGTTGTGTTTACTTTTTCCTAAACACGAAGTACATGGAGATTTGTTGGGTTCTGGGCCAAATTTGAGACTTTATACAAAAAGCCCGTTTTGAATGAGAAAAAAGCCATGAAAAATCAACTACATGCAGTTGGCGCCGGAAAGGAAAATAGCTACAAAGGTTTGTGGTAAAAATAGACAAGGAACTCAGTTAATTTCCGAATCTAACACCATTGTGCAATGTGTTTGCGCTTTGTTGGCAATTAGATACTGAATAAAACCAAAAACTTCATTTCAAAAATGCTTCAGTCAAAGAAGCCTGATTGGATTTTGTTTTTTTAGCAGCGATTCAATCATTTATCATCAATTGACCATCAATTTCAGGTCTACCAATGCGGAATGAGAGTTTGGTTGGTACCGGCATTGAGAGCAAAATCGGATAAAATAATCGATATCGGGGACTCTCTTGCTTCACAAAAATCACTCAATGACCACAACGGGACGGGACCAATTTGGTTGCGAAACGGAACGTGTCTGCACAGAAAAGAGACGTGCAAGCTGGAGTGGCACGTCGTGGGCACTCACGACAATCGGCAAATGGAGAATGACGGCGAGTTCGTGTTTGAGATCAACGTCGGTATGACTGAAGGGTCATCTGTGGGGCAGACAAACGAGCACAGAAATCGGAACCACAGTCAGGTATCGAAAAATGCCAAACAATTGTATTTTCTAATAATAGACAACCGAAAGGGATAATGTGGGACTCACGATTGAAGTGTTCCAAATCGGTTTGGAATATGCGGTGGAAATGGGAGAAGAAAGTGAGAAGACGAAAAGTGAGACACATGTCAAATCGAGGGATATCAATCGACAACATACACAGGTTGGCTGAAATGGGGCCGACAAAAGTGGGAGTTGGATAAAACCTAGAGTAACTAACATAAAATAGTAGTAAAAAGAAAGTAAAAAATTTGCGCTTTTCAGGAAATGAGTACCGTAAATACTGTAATAGTACCCCATCCACCATAATGACGGTGCGGAGTTTTGCGTAGTCTAGCTTTGAACGAGTTTTTCTCGACACTGGTTTATGCCATAATGCGCGCTTAGGTATCAAAAAATAGCTGAAATTCAGGGCTATTTTTTGATACCTAAGCGCACATTGTAGCATAAATCAGTGTCGAGAAAAACGCGTTGAAAGCTAGACCACGCAACACTCCGAACCGTCATTATCTTTGGTATCAAAAAATAGCCCTGAATTTCAGCTATTTTTTGATACCAAAGACGCATTTTTTAAAAGTACGGACGCTTTAAAAAAAATGAAATACGAAAAAACTTTTGCGACTACACGACTTTACGAGGGGGGTAGGGTACTATTACAGTATTTACGGTAGGTAAATCATGCAAAGTGATAAGCTAGCTATAGTTAACTGATAGTTATTAGGTTGTTACATAAGTCTTTGTTTGTTTGTTTTGTTTGAAAGGCTTTGTTTGAAAGTTTGATTTAGAAATAAATATCCAACCAATCGACTTGCGGTTTTCTCCATCAAAAAGTCCTATGGACCTTAATTACCCTAAAGTCGCGAGTATAAGCTCTGTTTGGTTTTCGCATGCAAATTGACGGCTGTCTCCGGTGCGGTGTGTCGAGGGTTCGAACCCCGCTGCAGCATAACTTTTTTGCTTTTTAAGAACAATAATAGAAGTAAATTTATTGAGGGTTATAGCAATTTTATGCTGTTATTTGTTATTGGAACCGTATTGGAACCGTATTAGATCAAAATAGGAACCGTATTGGAGCCGGAAAGCGTGGCTCGGCGCGTCCGCCCTGCTCCTCTCCGGTGCTCAGTCTTATGGATTCCTCCCTGGCCTCTTCATCCGGCCAAAGTCCACGTCGACGGTCGAAAGAGATGCTTTCCAGCGTCTTCTTCAACACTATCGTCTGGATATACGCCTCCACGGACTCGACAATGCCGATGTCCTTTGCGTATTGTCTGTGGTAGTTCGTTACTACCCCGTCCCACGTCATCACATATGGGATAATTCTCGTCTTGCACTTCATCTCCGCTCCCAGGCTATTTGCCAACACATCATATTTCCGCTTCTTCTCGGTCTCCACGGTTTGCAGTCGGTCCTGGCTTGTAATGCCGACCTCGATCAGGGTCACCTCATGGCGCTTCTTGTCGTGTACAAGAATATCAGGTCGGTTAGCCTGGGTCTTGGTTGACCTCTGCACCCTTGTGTCTACTCTGATCTCGACATTCTCGTTGGCCACAACCTCCTATAAACTGCCACTTCAAAGGTTGTGAAAAATTTATTTGACGAAATTCATGAAAAATAGAAATTTCTGTTCAATTTTTCTGCAAAATGGACCTTAATTAGCATAAAACTTAGCTAAAAGGAACAAAGAATGTTTTTATTGAAGCCAACCGCAAGTCGATTGGTTGGATATTCAGATCTAAATGAAACTTTGAAATAAGGCCCCAAGACTTCTGTAACATTCTAATATATCTCAAAACAGTATTCTATTGGAATACGGATGTGGATTAGAATTTGGGTTAAGTTAAAGAGAGTGAATCCTTTTGAGTGAAGCCATCTCTAACACCCCGACAACCCACCTCAACTCCTCCAACGTATTAGAGGGGAGTCCCTGGGAAATGACCGACCTGTACTGCAGTTGCATAGACCCGGAAGATACGTATCTTTATTTACAGTAGTATAATAAGATGAATAGATTACAAATAAGTGTAAGGGGAAGGGGGGACTCCCAATGGGAGTCTCACTTGTCCTCCTAGGCTCCTCACTGTCCTCCTAGGCTCCTCACTGTCCTCCTAGGCTCCACACTGTCCTCCTAGGCTCCACACTGTCCTCCTAGGCTCCTCACTGTCCTTCTAGGCTCCTCACTGTCCTTCTAGGCTCCTCACTGTCCTCCTAGGCTCCTCACTGTCCTCCTAGGCTCCTCACTGTCCTCCTAGGCTCCTCACTGTCCTTCTAGGCTCCTCACTGTCCTCCTAGGCCCCTCACTGTCCTTCTAGGCTCCTCACTGTCCTCCTAGGCTCCTCACTGTCCTCCTAGGCCCCTCACTGTCCTCCTAGGCTCCTCACTGTCCTCCTAGGCCCCTCACTGTCCTCCTAGGCCCCTCATTGTCCTCCTAGGCCCCTCACTGTCCTCCTAGGCTCCTCACTGTCCTCCTAGGCCCCTCACTGTCCTCCTAGGCCCCTCACTGTCCTCCTAGGCTCCTCACTGTCCTTCTAGGCTCCTCACTGTCCTTCTAGGCAATCCCAAGGACCGCCCCTTCTCGGCAATAAAAGGGATAAGCACAGGGGAGGACACATTTGCATAAGAATAGACAAATCATTCAATAATAACAATAGTAACTAAAATATCAGTTTGGCTCGGAGCTGACAATTCTAAAGTTTATCAATGTTCCCGTTGTACCCTAGAAAAAATCTCAGCTAGTTATTGAAATTCGAAAAATGAAAAATGTTTGTGTTTCATCCACAATGCAGAAATTCATTCAGAATTCATTTACATTCAGAAATTCAAATACTCGGTGAGCGCCGGGAAGAAGATGGTGGCCGAGCAGGAGGTGTTGGTTTGTGATTGTTTCGGGTACGATACGGCTCACATCAGAGCACGAGATGCCACTCCAGAGACAACAGACATCAGCGTTTTAGTTTTTGGATTGTTCCTGATACTATTTCTTGTGTTCTTGGTTTCCGGTTCTTTCTTCCTTTATCGTCGCCGTGAAGCCACAAATAATGATAGAGATTCAGGTTCTGACAAAAAACTAAGAGTTTCCTTTCAAGATCTCCTTCTTGCCCCAAACGCTTAACCTAAAACTCCCGTCTTTCTTTCTCCTGTTTCTCGAGTTAAATCGAGAATTTGTTTTCTCAAATTTGGAGAGAAGGCCACTGTTTAAGCCGATTTTATCAAAAAGGACCATATTTGTATTGGAGTACCTTTTCTAATAAGAATTGTAGTTATCCAAAAAATCCTGCCAATCTTTAATCCATTGTGATATTCTTTTGTTGCTTGGTCATTAAATATTTGCGTTTCACATTTAGAAGGCGGCTATCCTGTAAAAAGTCCTTACAACAAAGCAATCAGTTCAGAAGCAATCAGTTCAGAAAAGGCAACACCGCTGAGAAAAGGAAAAAGGGTTGAACTCAATTTGAAAACTTTTTTCGTAGCTCGAAACTTTTTCACTCAAAATAGTCAAACTCAGTTTTCAGTCAAGCTCAGAATGAAACGCCTTTAATAGATAAAAGCTTGAAAATAACTGTTCGATGCTGAATCACAGCAATAATAGTTGATTCTTTGCGATGCTTTCGTAGTTACTCGACCAAAAACGTCGATTAGTCGACGTAGAAATTACTCATGCAAATTTTACTCGAGTTTTACTCGACTCACTCGCGAGGAACACACTCTAATTACAAGAGTCGATTAATCGACGTCTACCTACCAGAAATCTTCATTAATGGGTTCATCGATCACAAAAACCCGCCAATTGATCTCTATTTTGGGAAAGACAATTCGCAAGCAACAAATTTCTACAATAAATACACTTTATTCAATGGGAAATTGTTGATTTGAAGATTTTATAACGTTCAACGCGAATCCGGAATTATGGGAGACGGCTCGGTTGAAGGTTCACTCTGAAATTAGCTATCCTTTCTTTTAGCTATCCTTTCTTTTAGCTAAATTAGCTATCCGTTTTCTAGAAAAGCTAACTATTCTAGAAAACTACCCTCATCTAACTACAAGTTTTCATTTGATCGGCTTAATTGTATCATTCGACGAGAAATCACAAGGCTCATTAAATCAGCCAAAATTAAACTGTTCAAATGAAAACGAACGTTTTGATTAGGGTAAAGGAAAAAGGAGAAGGAGGAGTACGGAAAAAGAAAAAGGAGGAGTACGGAAAAAGGAGCAGAGCGCAAATTTGCTAATAGTGAAACTAGAATCGAAAACTTTTGAACCTTGTTTATTAAAGTATTAATACTTTTTTTTTGAATCACAGTCATTTTTTTAATTTGACAGTTTCCTTTTGGTTTTCAAAAGTTAAACAAACCGTTTCCGTATGAATTGGGAACATTTCCGGAACAAGGAAACCCTCCGATCCTCCATTCAAAAGCTTTCCCATTTCTGTGCTCTCTGGCAATGTCGATGTCGTTGCATCAACATTTTCCAGCTTTTCCTCCTCAACGAGCTCGCTTTTCGGCGTACTCTGCATTACAGCCTCACCAAACATGTTCTCAGCCTGAATTTTTGATTTTGCTCACAAAAGATTGCTTTTATTGCTCTTTTATCGCTTTACAAATATAATACCCTATTTTCTCTAATAGTAGTACTAATCAACCGTACTAAGTACTAAGTACTAATCTAATACAACCGGGCAAGCCGAGTTGGTAGTCACCAACTCACAAAATTTCAGCAATTTATTTAGCAATTTATTGAGCTTCCTTTTGAGCTGTACTTTATGCTCAAAACACACCCTTTCTGGTGCACTCGATTGCACAACACTCAATGGCTAAGGGAAAAGTTAAGTACGCCAGAAAGGATCTGTTTTCAAATGCGAGTGCACCTCAATCTGTGCTTGAAATGGTTACCGTATTCTCTCTAATAAGTAAGCCGAGTTGATGCCTATTTTACGGTTTCCAAGCTTTCACAGAGACTCAACACTCAAATCCCCCACGAGATCTCATCGTCAGCTACATTTTTCGACCCCACATCAATAGGTTCTGATAAGCGGTTCTCGAGATTTCGAGGAATTTAGGCAAGCTTATGGACTAGTATTAGGGACTAGCTTCTTTGAGATCAGCTTCTCCTTCTTAGTTGCCAGCTTCTTTAAGCTTTGTTGGATTTGTTACGGTAGATTTGTAGCCGAGTTGATGCCTATTTTACGGTTTCCAAGCTTTTGCAGGAGCTCAACACTCTAATCATCGTCAAGATCTCATTATCAGCTACATTTTCCGACCCCACATCAATAGGTTCTGATCAGCGCTTTTCGAGATTTCGAGGAATTTAGGCGACGCTCAGGGTGCACTACTATTAGAGGAAATACGGTATTTGACTGATTGTAGTTACTTGAACCATAGCCGGTTGTTGGGTGCTTAAATCAAGAATCACTCCGAGATCGGTTGGCGGTTGACCATCCATTTGAATGTCCGTTGGTGGCACAAATGGATTCACATCAATGGGCAGCATTCTGAGAATTGAAGCTTTTACTTTGTTACTTTAAAATTACTTTAAACTAGAAAGTTTTACTTTGTTTTTGACAGTTACAAGTTGATTTTGATTTTTCTGGATTGATTTTTGCAAGTATTAGACTGTCTAGAAAGTTTTCTCGTTTCTGGATAGTCTACATTTGAAGAGCTACATTTGAAGAGCTACAAAACTCACTGATCTGTGCCCTCATTGCTAGCGATTTGCGCATCGAAAGAAACTTGTGGCTGAATGCCTGAGTGGAAATCTGATGATTGTTTAATAGACGATTCAACAATACCACTTCCCTCCTTGAGATTCTCGTCCGTTTTCTCTATTGTCGTTTCCTCAAACAATATCGTTGTTCTAAATTCTCATAGGGAAACTAATCATTGCCTCTGTTGTGGTCTACAAACGTTGTCTCTGTTGTGGACATTGTTGTAGTGGTGGTCGTTGTTTCAGGACCAGGCACATACAAGAATTGTACATTCCAAACGGTTCCTAAAGAAACCAACAATAGATTTGATAAACTTTACTACTGTAAGACGAGCAGGAAACTTTGAAATATGTTTGGAATGTAATACGAGTAACTATTTTGGATTTAGGAGGCTCAAGAGTACTCGTTAGCCCAGTACCTTGCTCATTGTCAGTACATAGCGACCCTAAACATATCAGCGGAAAAGCGATCTCTCGACAGCTCAAATTAGTGGGATTGTTTGCTTGAAAGCCTGCCAAGAAGCCCCTAATGATCGCTCGAACCTGCTAAGAGGCTAATGATCGCTCGAGCCTGCCAAGAAGCCCCTAACGATCGCTCGAACCTGCTAAGAAGCCAATGATCGCTCGAACCTGCTAAGAAGCCCCTAATGACAGCTTGACATCGTAAACTTCGATTGACTTTTGTAAGGAAGTATGAAGATTGGACGAGTGATGACTGCGCAAAGGTTCTCTGGAGTGACGAAACAAACGTCAATCTTTTCAGTTCGGATGGAGGTTCTTGGATCCGACAACCGATGAATCAACGTTACAAAGGCAAATTCATTTATCAGTGAAATTCGGCGGTAGAAATATAATGATGTGCGGTGTTAGTCAATGCTTTTTTTTGATCTTAATATGGTGTGCCTTTTTAGGTTCTGTCTCGTGAATTCGTTGGTTCATTAGTGCGTATCCAAGGAAACATGGATGCCATTCGATACAGTGATATCTTGCAGCAAGGTGCATTAGGCTAAGCACTTGTTCTAGACCGTTTATGGATGGATCTAGATGAGTGACAATTGAGGAAATATGATTTTGAAAAATTTTTGAGCAATTGAGTGAGAGCACTTGTCACTTGTCACCTGAGAACTTGTCAAACCTCTAACAACGAGTCGATCCGGTCGACAAACTCCCTCACTCGACAACAACTCGGCTTTACTAAAGTACCGTTGCAGGAAATCTTTCTTAAACGGTTTCCTCCGATCTCCGTTCCACAAAATGTATTTCCCGTCCTCGGAACTGAAATATTCATCGTTTTAGATTCAGAGTTGAATTGCGAAAGGTTTTTTTTGTTTATGGTAGCTTTGCGGTACGATTACTTTATCAAAATCTTTTAGAAAAATCAGTTAGAGAAGAAAATGTGGGCCTAGCCTCAAAGTGAGCCTAGCCTAAACATTTTAAAAAGAGCTACAGCTACAGAGGTAGCTATAAAAGTGAGTTCACTTCTATAGCTATAAAAGAATCTTAGTCGTTCCACTTAACCAACTTTCTTTCTCACTCACCTAATCGAGAGGAAAAATTGTCGTCGATAGGAAAAAGTGGGATCAGCTCTGAGCACGTTTCGTCGACTTGCCGTCCCGTCCTAATTCGATCATTTCGTTTTTTCCAGAATTAAGTTTAAGATATTTTTTTGCAAACCCAATCATCCGAGGAAACGCTGAGATCACAATTGTAGTGGAAGTGCCACCATTCCTCGAAATCTACCTGAAGATGAATAAAGAAAGAATAGATAAGTCCAATTTGAGTTGATGATTAAAATAGACAAGCTAGACATGGCTAGCAGTTCAGAAGAATTTTATGGTTTGGTCTAATTCTTAAGTCAGAAGTCAGGCTTTGACTAACAAGGGAATCAGAAGTCTGACTTCTGCTCATTGTAAGCTTCTGGCCTAGCCTGTAAGCCCTTGTAAGCTTCTGGCCAGGCTCTTCCCTTGTTTTGGCTGGCCTAGTCTGGCCTAGCCTAGCCTGGTCTAGCCTAGCCTGGCTTGCAAGTCCTGCAAGGATATCCTCGTTTTTGAGCATAGGAAATTAGCTACTATAATGAATCAGTTGGTACCTGCAAAGTCTTGAAGTTAAATCAGTTCTTTAAAGAAAACGGGTGGGGGGTGTAAGCAACGAATAAACTTTAAATATTTTCTCACCTCTGGCACGCACGATTGAATCTTTGCCGAGAAGACGATTTTATTCAAATCCGAACAAACCAAGTTTATTTCAAGACTGAAAAGACTTTTGTTAAGAGTTAGAAACTTTTGTTACCTTTGAAATGGATCTTCTGCATTGGCTGAGATCAGATAATAGTCACCAATATTTCCGGGAATCGGGATCTCTTTGGTTTTGAAAAGGGCTGCATTCTGAAATTTATGGTCTAAAAGTTACTTCACTTACAGTCTTATACCGTATTTTCTCTAATAGTAGTGCACACTGAGCTGAGCTAGAGCTACTCTAAATCCTGAGCTCTAAATTCCTCGAAATCTCGAAAAGCGCTGATCAGAACCTATTGATGTGGGGTCGAAAAATATAGCTGACGATGAGATCTTGACGATGATTAGAGTGTTGAGCTTCTGCAAAAGCTTGGGAACCGTAAAATAGGCATCAACTCGGCTACAAATCTACCGTAACAAATCCAACAAAGCTTAAAGAAGCTGGTAACTAAAGGCGAAGCTGATCTCAAAGAAGCTAGTCGCTAATACTAGTCCATAAGCTTGTCTAAATTTCTCGAAATCTCGAGAACCGCTTATCAGAACCTATTGATATGGGGTCGGAAAATGTAGCTGACGATGAGATCTTGACGATGATTAGAGTGTTGAACTTCTGCGAAAACTTAGAAACCGTAAAATAGTCATCAACTGCGGGGTGCGACTACTATTAGATAGAATACGGTAACCATTTCAAGCACAGATTGCGGTGCACTCGCAATTGAAAACAGATCCTTTCTGGTGTACTTAACTTTTCCTTTAACAATTGAGTGTTGAGCAATCGAGTGCACCAGAAAAGGTGTGTTTTGAGCATAAAGTACAGCTCAAAAGAAAGCTCAATAAATTGTTAAACAGCTCGGACACAGAAAATCTTATAAGAGTTAAAGTTCTGATCGACTTTAGGAGCTAAAAGCTTTCAGAGAGAACAAGAAATGCATTTTAAAGCTTTAAAATCCAACAATACAAGAGAATCTCTTACAAAATCAAATGCGACAAGTTAAAAACAAACCGCAAAGTTGAGTAGGACGCCGAGAAGCAGAAGGAGGCGAAAAATCGGGGTCATTGCGCGATGGAAAAGGTTGGGGAAAGAGTTTTTCCGTGCATGAGAGACATCGCTTGCTTTGCTTTGCTCAATTTGCTCTATCCAATGAGGATCCCTGACATAAAAAGAGATGAAAAAAACCCTCGATTCTTTCTTTTTTTCTCTTACAATATCAGCAGATAGATATCTCTGATCTGCAAAAAGAGCTAGCTAGACTGATAACTGATAAAGGGAAACTAGTTTGGTGAGAGCGAAAAAATTTTGGATTGCTACGTGATTGTCATTCAAAAATTCCTAAATCCAAAAATGGATTGTCAAAAATGTTATTTGAAACGTGAAACGATCGAAGCTATGCATTTTTTTTCCGCTTAAAGATACAAATTTAAAATCAACTCCTTGTTTAGACACAAGATTACGCACAAGCCGCATCATTTCGAAGAGCAACGCTTCAACGCCGAAGACAAATATGTTTAGCTTTTAATCATTGACTATGATTTGTTTAGATCTCACAATCTTGTGTTCAAAGCACGTGTCTCACGAAGCATTCTTCTGTCACTTGGTGAGAGGTTTATAGTTTTCTTAGTAACTACGTAAACTTCAGGAGACTGCACCGACGGGTCCAACAAATGTCATTGAAACGTGAAACGAGCGATCGAAGCAATAGATTCCCACTCCGGTCACCATGCTTGAACAACATCGGACATATCATGGATTGGTGGGCGTCTCTGGACTGAAATTAAGGTCAGATTTGTTTTAGGTGCTTGCTGGGAGGCAACTCTTTGTAATTAGTGGATTTGATTTGCCGACGAGCACATGCGCTTCAACTCCGAAGACAAGTACGTTTGACTTCTAATCATTGACTATGATTTGTTTTAGATCCCACAATCTTGTATTCAAAGCACGCGTCCCACAAAGCATTCTTCGGTCGCTTGGTGGGTGGTTTATAGTTTTCTTTAACTACCTAAACTTCAGGAGGCTGGTCAGCGACGGTCCAACAAATGTCACTAAAAAGTGGAACGAGCGATCGAAGCAATAGATTCCCACTCCGGTCACCATGCTTCAACAACATCGGGCATATTATGGATTGGTGGGCGTCTCTGGACTGAAATTAAGGTCAGATTTGTTTTAGGTGCTTGCTGGGAGACAACTCTTTGTAATTGGTGGATTTGATGGCACTAATTACTCTCACACACTCGTTCTTTCAACATGGACACTTTGGTATTTGGGGTACTTTTGCGCTTTTTAAGAAACTTTGTTTAGAAATGGGGAACATCGGGGAGCAATGAACGAACATCGATGTTATTTTAGCGCTTGTGCATACGACAAAAACCACATCTTTGCAGCTGGAGGGTTAGTTTTTGTGCTATCAACGTTACTAACAACCCTTTTTAGTTTCAACGGAAGTACGAGGATGCGAAGCGCCGAAGGGTACAAAATATAGGAGATGTTTGCGATTTCTCCTAACGCTTACCGTTGATGAAGCTGAAGCAAGTGAGGGAAACGGAAAGCAAGTGAAAATTGAAATATTTGTGTTTCGTGTATGAAATTAATCATTGTATTCGATATAAATCGTACAAATGTCAAGTCTTTTTTAAGTAGATTCGATTTGTTTAGCTTTGAAATTCCACAAAAATCATCGAGATTTATTGTCAGCTTTACGAAATCGTGCAAAAGTTTCATTTATCTAAAAAAAAGCTGAGCATTGTAACAGAAACTCGTACAGTTTGTGTATTGCGCTTTCACATTGTTCATTTGGGAAGCTCAGTTTGGTGAGCTCAATATAAAAGGGGAGTCAAGAGTGCACAAGTCAACCGGAAATCAAAAATGAAGCTTCTCTCTCCTCTCATCCTTCTATTCATCACTTTTTGTTCCCTAGAGGCGATCCTGTTGAAGATCAAAGACCTCGATGGGATCCTTTCAAACGACGAATTCGACATCTTCAATAAATTCCTCGCCGAGTGAGTCGTTCTTTTGTGATGAATTTCTTCAGGAAGCTAAGCAATAGTTCTATGGTCATTTTTTGACGGTTAGAGAAAGAATTAGTGATTGGTTAAAATTTGGAATGATTGGTTAAAATCGAATAATTTTCAGCAACAAGAAATCCTGTGGCCACCATGGAGTCGATTGCAGAGGACGAAAGGGAAATTTCTTGAAGAACTTGAAGAAATTCAACGAAATCAAAAAGGTTTCGAGGTAGGAGAAAAGCAGTCGTTTCCATGGAATTCTGCCTGCTTTCAGCTTTGAAGTGCAGATGCATTCCGAGATGGATTTGTCGGATGAGGAATTGAACTCGGTGGGGAAAACCTTCAACTTGACATGGACAAATTCTCTTTAGAGATTGATTCCGAAAGATTTTGTTGAGCCCTTTCCAATCAAGGCAAAGAAGCCGGATATCAAGAAGCGATCGAAGCGGGTTTGTCTTTTCGACTAGAAGAGAGCTTCTTGTGAAAGAATCAGAAAATTTTGCACTTCTAACAAGGAATTGTCTTGTTTTGAGCCATAGATATCGCCAGTTCACCTTTTCTTGCAGAGACATTCAAAATAACCCTAAGTCAACCACGCATGAGCTTTGTCCTAAGGGTTTTTCAACGCTTTTATCAAAAAAACTCAAGAGCGTAGTTGATAGTTTTTTTAACGTGTCAAGTAAATGGAAGCAAATGGTCGAATGGCTTTCTTTTGTATTTCTTTGCATTACCCATTTACTTGCCCTTTTCAGCTCTATTAGATGTACTATAGCCCGTCGTTTACAACTCGATTTCACCGCAAGCCCAAGCCTTTATCACAAATGAGCAAAAGAAAGAAAGATCTTGAGTTCAGAGTATTCCCACATCATACGATTGGCGCTTGACGGGTGCAGTGAACGCGGTCAAGAATCAGGGAGGATGTGGAGATTGCTGGGCTTTTGCGTGCGTATCCCAAATTTGTTGTCCTCAAGCAAGAAGACTTTCAGGACAGCGGGCGTCGTCGAAATCCTCGATAATCTTGTCAATTGTCGGATCAATGACACGACCCGTCTCTCCTATTCCGAACAGGTGACAAATGGTGTTTCTCAAGTTCTCATTTCATTTTTCCCTCAGTTCGTCAACGATTGCACCTACAACAACGCCTCACTTCCACAAAGTCAACAACGAAACGGATGCAAGGGTGGCTCGGCGTACTTTGGCCTTGAGTGGGATTTGTGTCAGGAAATCTTTCTTTACGATCTCTTTCAGCTACGTGATCAAGAATGGAATCACCCTACAGTCAACGGCTCCATATGTCTCAGACTCGACCTCTCCACCCACCTCCGGCGTTTGCAAGACCACCTACAGTGTTCGTTTGCTGCCCTAATAAAAAAGAACTCTAGAGAAGAGCACGCTCTACCGTATTACTTGAAATCGAGTACCCGGGCACTGTAACTCCCAGAGAGTACTTTGTTTGTAGGAGAGGCTTTTAGAAAAGCTCTTATCTAGTACAAGACAAATGGCCGTAGAGTGAGAGCACCGACTGTACGTCGCAATGCCCTAACAACGATGTATCGTTTTTTATACATCGCAATACCAACAACGACGTAATCTGTCTTTTGTCTAGCGTTGATGCTCTCACTTTGTCACCATTTTTCCTGTACCAAAGAAAAGGCTTAGGCTTAGGCTTATATGATCGACGAGCCGAATTGAGGGGCTACATTTTGATACCAGATTTTTGATATATCTTTTGATATCTTGATCCAAACTCGCATAAAGCGAAGGCCCTGGTAAATGGCAATATATGGCGCAAGCTTCATGCCCACCCCCATGTTCTCGTCTTTCCTACTTTTGCCACTAACTAAAGGTTTCTCATTGCCCTGAGCATCACGAGTTTTCAGCCACAAATCAAGCCAATCAAAGATCAATGGGACTTCACGAACGATGTGGCCGGAACGATGAACTACATTGCCACAATTTCCCCAGTTGCTGTCGGTATGGAATCGACCTTCTGCCCCTTTATTTGGATTGTTTAGCGCTGGTCGTCTGTGCTGACTTCAATTTCTACAAGTCTGGCATCTACAACAACGCCTCCTGCAATGAACAAAACAGCGAGGGAGGACACGCAATGACTATGATTGGATATGGTGAGTGGCTTGAAAAGGAAATTCACTCGAATTCAAGTCCTCTTCAAAGCTGTGCCTGAAAGCTGTGGCATTTCTAGGAATAATATTGTCTGCACACTAGATTTCAAACGAAAACATCTATCAGTCGCATTTTGCCGTTGGCAATTTGAGACTTTTCTCAGCAACAACTCTTCGATTTTGATAATGATTCGATTCAGATTGAAATTGTGTATCGAATGATACCAAAATCGACTCAAAATGTAACACACATGCAAAGTTATGAGGCGAAAGGTGGTCAAGTTTCGCCCATAATGGACGGGGTCTAGGTTTCTCGCCAACAACCTTATGTTTTGAGTTGATTTTTGTATCATTCGAGGCACAATTTCATTCTGCATCGAATGATAGTGAAAATAGTCGAAATCGAAGCGTTGGTGCTGAGCAAAACTCGAAAAACCTTGAATTGCCAATGGCTTAAGGCACTGAGAACGGAGTCGACTACTGGCTGTGCCGCAATTCGTGGGGGCCAACATGGGGCGAGTCTGGACATGTCAGAGTGAGTGCTCAATCTCGACGCTCTCATTTCAACCGATCACAGATCAAACGAGGCGCCAATATTGCCACCATCGAGAGTCGAGGAATCTACGCGCCCGTCCCGATAACAGCCGCCAACAAATGTACCACATCGTTGGATTATTATTATGACTCATGTGAGGGGTTTCGATCCGAGGGCCGGCTTTCACAATGTGCATTTCAGATCCCAATTGTCAGTGTACTGCCGCAAAAACAACAGCTCCCTCAGCACCATTCACCGTTCAATCACAGCCTGGTCAAACGTGAGAAATCCTCCTTTCTCAGAGTCCTAGAAAAATCTTGTAAAAACCTTAGAATAACCAGGCTTTAAGCCAACGTTTTGCAGTGGTTGCATCCCTTCGAAGATTCAATACAATTGCAC